CTAACCGACTCTCTCCGAGCACTGCGCTATCACAGCTCCCCAGGGGTCAACTACCATCGAGTGACCGTATGATGACCGCTTGTCGTTATGCTTTCCCGTCTGAGCAGCAGCGATCACATAACACTGTGTTTCGATGGCCCGAGTTCGGAAGTAGGGGCTGTAAATTATTGGCTGAGGGCACAGCAAAGATTAAAATTGACAGCCGAACTGTCACTAGTAAGGATTGGATGAAGAATGAGTCAGAGACGAACATAGGAAGAACCGAATATGAGAGAAATAGAAAAACTCAAAATTCCATCTTTTTCAGTATCGGAGTTTTTTAATGTGTACTGGAACGTCAGGACAGATACGAAGAAGCAAATTTGCGTCTCTTGACACTAATTTTTCGGTGCATTCTGATGCTCTTGGTTAGAGCCATTCCTCGATGGGATAGGCTTCGCGTGGCCACCATCGGAGTATTTCCAAAAGATATGGCCATCGTGAATAAGGTTACAGTTTCTTAAAGGGTTCGTTATGTGTTTCCGATGTTCCTATCTGGACATCTTCAGGTGCCAATAAAAATGGAAAGCTGTGAAGCCACACTTCTACAAATCTTGTTAGAAGTAGAAGGATTCAGAAGTTAGATCAACTTCAACATTAACTAGGGATCACAAAAGCTGGAGTCAGAATCTTCTACACCCCCATAATTCTCTATACCGAGTAAGTGATAATGGTGACTTGAGTCATCGGAAATGAAACCTCTTCATAATCCTTAATAATGAAAAATCACAGTGGCTCTTGAGTTTGATCAATGACGCTTTGCCACTGGTTCAACCACCTAGGGTACTTGTTGAATACAAACACACAGGTAACTGAGATATGGGTGCGTATGCGTTTCTATCTTCGTCTGAACTTGAAGATTCATGTTTATAAGGCCCATTTAAATCTGAAAAACAGGTTCTCACCTCCCAATGAGCCAGACCAGTGTTGAGTGTGAAGGAAGAAGGATACGAAAGAATTTCTGCACCCTTGTAACGATTCCAAAGGGCTAGTTCTGGAAACCGAAGATCATAGCAAATGGATAAACCGAGTCGTCCAATTGGGGTATCTACAGGCGGAACCATCTGAAAACGGTCCGCTTCAATTCAAAATACAAGCTCTCTTATAGAAAAATTAAGTAGTTGGAAAAGGTTACACTTCAAGTAAGTCACTCACTGACCTTAGTTCCACTTTTGCTGAATTCACTTTCCATCAATCTAACTTTGCCTGGAATTTCCAAATCAAAAAGGTGCAACTTGTTATACAGCGCTCTTGTCTCGCCCTCATCGTCGATTATCACGTGAGAGTTCCACGGCATACTTAGGCTCAGATGGATCCTGAAGAGCCTTCTTCGATTTGATCAAGCATACAGAGCTCAGGATTGTACGGATCTTCTCGATCTCCTTCTGCGCTTGCAATATAAGTACACCACAACGCATATGGACACCTCACCAACTGCGTACCTAACATCTACGAATTTGAGAAATCTTGTACTTCCTATTCAGGATATTATTTATGAAAGTGGATTTCTCTACTTTTCACCCATTTTGCTTAGCCTGACACGTCACTGTTTATGGGCAGGATAGAGAGTTAAGCTGCAAACGTTATGTTTATTTTTTTTTTTTTTTATGCAAGTGTAGAAATGCCATTTGGTGCGCTGTAGAAAACAAATTACGCAACATGGGCAGGAAATCCGACAAGGGACTCGTTCTTTCCCCTACTGATCCAAAGTCCGACGAGTTACCCTCCAATGTTGGCGCTTCGGTGTCCGTTGCAACGAATTTCTCCTTTGTAATCATACTACTAGCAATTGTTTCATATGTTATCGTTATGGTAACAAGTACTCGCACAGTGCAGAACAATCATCCACAAGAGCTGAAATCAGTAATATTTAAGGTGAGGCGATTGAATATGAAAGCCACTCGTGGGACTCAACGCTTTCGGGGCAGGGTATGTCTGAATTCCACTGAATACTTTTTTCGAGAACTTTGCCGATAGGATTCTTTCTGGCTACATATCTACTACTCAGGCTCTCCTCACCCTCTCTACCCATCTTTCTCTTCCAAGAACATTGATTTTTCGCAAGTTTTACCTTTAACATCGTTTAGCCTCCATCATCTCATGACATAAGGAACAATGTTGATACCGCCATATACCCATGTAAGCTTTAGTATTTTCAAACTGAAAATTCCATTTTTGGTGGAATAATCCGAAGATGAGCGCGCTGCTGATCTTGAATCCCATGCCATATTTGGAACTCCACGAATGGTGCTAAACCACGTACGATATTCGATGAGAAGCTTTACGAAAGGTTCCGATCTAGGTATGATTTAAAAGGAAGTTGAGGAAAGCGACGCTAATAGTCGCGGGCGCAGGTTTGCGCATGTGGAATTCATGGTACTCTCGATGCTTTCTTTAATCGAGTACGCTACCTGGCGTCCCATCTAGGTCCAGGATGAATGACGAAAAAACGTATAAATATCAACTGCTACATAGAAAACTATTTTTATGTTATTCACTAGCATTGATTTTTCATGGGTGGAATGGTGTAGTGGTAAGTGGCGCTGCTTACCACGCGTTCTGCCTGGAAGTCAAATCTCCAACCTTGCCAAGGCCTCCATCCCTCCCGAGCGGTCGATCGAATGGTACCTGACTTCTCTTGGACGCTAAAAACACTAACTTGTCCCTCAACCTGACCCGTGCCAAGTCAATGCATACGAATTCATTCACACCACATCCAAATGGCGGTACGATTCTGAATGGAAATAGAATGCGTGGCGCATACTCAGAAGGGATTGATCAACGCCAATGCCTTGTCTTTTCTTTATTTAGTTTTTCAAACTCAACTTAAAACACAGTGTAACGAACTAGACTCTACCGAAAAATAATACAAACACTAACCTTATTGTGAAAGCCACCGAGAGAAATCCAGACACCATGCTGTTTTGCTAGGGACCTGTAAGGCCACTTGAGTGAATAAGAAATAATGCATCCAGATGATGTGTTCGATACCTGAAGCGCTCCATGAAAGGACCGTTCTCTTCCGTCGCTGAGTTAATGTTTTCCTCCCTGTTTCGGCCAATGAAGTCAAAGCATTCTGGGAAGAATATCATCTGAATGCGATTACAGATTTCATGGTGAGCCATCCTTTACACTATCCTTCTCTTTACCTTGCAACTCCGTGCACTAGCCCTTTCCACCATGTCCTTGCAGGTGTTGAAATTCTTCTCTACTTCATGATCACTTGTGAGTTGGCAAACAGCAATCTAGGAAAGTAATGATAGACGGATCAAATTCCAGGACTCTAAAGGCATCATGTGCTGGGTCTCTCCGCCTTAAACGAAACAAAGGATTTTCGGTACAAAAGGCAGCATAATATACTCGAACTACGCCTTAGTACAACCTTTGAGGCGTCTTCATGTTGGAATAGCAGGGGAGGCAAACCTTACTCTAAAGTAGACTAGAAATTGTGATTCCTTTCATTTTCCAACCTTACTGCTAGTTTAGAAGAAAACCAGAAGGGAATGAAGCGGGGAAAAACACTGATTCCACCCTTATACTTCAATAAATTCAGAACGTTTTATAATACTTACTAAAGATCTCCCTTTTTCTATTGATTTTGACATAGTTCTTCGAATTAGTGTTGTTAGCATCAACCTGTAATATTCCAAGCGTCACTTAGGACGAATTCCAGCCGGTCGTCTGTTCGGAATGGTCACACAGCATTGGATGCGTATCGATCCTCACAGGGCCGGGATTGGACGACCTGTACGATCGAATGCTGTGCGATCGTTACGATCGGTCGACTATCTATGAAAGCGCCAACAGTTCTTCACAAAGATATTAGCAGAAGTATGGAAAATTCCGTATGGTTGGTTCACTTCTTCACAAATTAATTTGATGTTTCTTCATCTTTATTACTTAGATTAAAATTGGAAAATCTATGGACAACATGAAAGACTAGAAATACTCAACAAAAGACATACAGTCACAAATTAATGAGCATGTTAGGGCCTCCCAGTAAATTATGTGAAAATAATATGACTCTATCGCAAAAAAATAAACTACATAAACAGCAACTCTTCAAATGAAAAAAAACCTGTGTCAGATCATCGGCTTAAGTAAAACTAGATTTGCATGCTCTCTCATAATTTCCTCCTAGTGCATATTCCAAGCCAAATGCAGCAGGAAAGGAGAAAGTTGAGAGTAAAACAAGGCTGAAATGCGTAGTCACAGAAGATTCTAAATGACTAAGAAGGAAGACGTTTCAATCGCAGCGAAGAACCCTTCGTTTTCTTATCCCCACCTAATATGGTTCATCCCAGCTACCGTTCTTTCCCGTTATTTGTTATATCCTTTAGTGCAGCGTTTTGAGCCGCAGGTGGGAAGTAAGAATACAAAATCAACCACAATGACTGACAATGAGACAAAGTAGTTTACCGACCCCGATCATTCCCATGCAACGTGCTGGGTAAACGTGGTCATGTACAGCGCCAACAACTATCCAAACTATTTCACACAAAAAGCGTGACAAGTGAAAACGAAAGCCTCTGTGGGACTCCATAGATTTAGCAATGCCCCATTTAAAAGTAACGAAAAATGAACATTGAACTAGGGAGTAAGCAACCAGCTTGTCAGAGGTGTCGCATTTCTACCCGCTTGGCCACGAGCTATCCTGACTCCAATAAAAGCGAAACAAGGATAAAGAAGCATGATATTCTGATAAGATTAATAAGAAAATGAGGTAAGAACAGTCAGCGACACGGCCACAACTTTGAAGCAAAATGGACAATTAATCCTTTCGATCTGATCTGCGGGAGCCTTCTTTGTCGGCCTGATCACGAGAGTTCTTTCTAAGCACATCTCGCACACCCATGTTGCGATATCTACAAATATAACAACTGAATGTATGGCGCAAACATAAAAATCTCTAAAAAGGGCACAGCTTACCGGTAAAGCTTCCTACCGTACTTGATTTTATTCTTTTCGTATTCTGTACGCACCTGAAAATAACGTATGATCTCGTATGATTACCAGCGATTTTGTTATTCGATTTGAGTACAAACCGTGGCACAATTTTGACCCCACATGTCTCTCCTACAAAATACAAGCGCTTCTGATCTATTTCGTTTCCCCTCCACAACTACAGTGGAGACACAATGAACGTTGAGAGCTCATGAAAGCTTCACAAACTATTAATTCTTTTAGGTATCGAAATTAAGTAGAAAGTTGCTGTGAGGCACCTTAAGTCAAAATAAGCATGGCCATAGCGGTGCAGAGGTCAGATATCGGATCAAATCTTGCCCACAACTAAGCCTCTCACATCTCTGGGGTAATTGACACCGCTCTTCTGGAGAAATAAAACATAAACTCTTACATTGGTTAGTCCCTGCAAGTCAATGCATACGCTAGATCGCCTACTTTGTCACTAATGAATGGAAGTGGAATGCATTTCAAAGAGATTAACCAATGCTCGTTGGTTCAGTTGATTTTTACTTATTTTGTTTGAAGTTTAGTTGGAAGCAATTCTGATGAATTCACCGCACAACTTTATAGAGATGCCTTGAGCCTGCACCACTTCTTTTAGTAGCTAGAGTATAGAACAAATTCAATTCCGCTACCACCCTGTTTGCTAGGACCACGACCCACGATTCCTAACTTTTCCCTCACATCTGAAGGCGCGGTCGTGGCGGGCGCGCGAGAGCAAGCTGGAAAGGCGAGAGCCGTATTCTCTTCCCCCAATGCTCCATTGCCAGTGTCTCACCACTATGGGCCGTATGTATGCTCCCCGAAGGGGTTAGGGGACGAAAATTCCTTTAAATTTTCTCTGTCTTCCCAACTGGGATTGCCCTGATAAAGGCCTACATTTAATGTATGTATGTAGGTTAAAGTAAACATGCATTGAAAATGAAGAAACTACATCGTTCAAAACAAATAAATTTAAAGGAAACTTTGCGTCACCTAGCTTCGGGGAAGCATAGCACACAGCCCTACAACTTTGCGCTCTCCAGCATGCCTCTCTTCCGCGCCCGCCGCGACCCACGTTCCAGGTGTGAAAAAAAAACAGAAGGTCAATGGAGCGACCACGCCGTGAGATTCTGATATAGGTTGAAGACCAAGTGTACGAAAAATTATTCCAAATATCAAAACTCCAGATTAAAGCAATAATTCGTAACAAAGGAAATGAAATAGTTGACCTTATACTCGACTTCGCGTGCAGTACGAAGTTTCCCCATTCGACGTAACGTCCAAAATGCTGCTTGAATAAGAACAAGTGTCGTCATATAACGAAGAGGCGTCGCTACCTAAAAAACTGTCCGATAACCGACAGCATTTCTGTGACATTTTCACATATCAAATTAAGAAATACGAGAGAACAACTATGTCCCAAATATGCTTGCTACCATTTTGTCCTGCTACTCACTTTTGTGTATTGTTGGAGTAAGCCGTTAATCACTCATAACCACAAACCTTGTATAAAATTAGGGCAACAACGATCACACCAGCACTAGGAGGAACATTCTCGATTTTCTCAATAACAACTGCCGGCATATGCAACGTTCGAAGAAGTGCAACGACATCTACACCACTTGAAAAAAGAACCATATAAATACTTCACTTGGAAAGAAAAAAAGGACACTAAAACTAGCCTCTGATGAAAAGGAATTTCCAGAAATCAAGAATACTCACCAGTGTACCAGTGCATAAAGACCTCCAAACCATGTTGTGCAGCAAATCATGTGCGCAGGGACCGCAATATACCAGTAGCGCTTGAGGTAGTACTTTACCTTCCCAAACAGTGTATCTGGCTCCTTCTCCTACGAAAAAAAAAGAATTGCGCGTGAGGAATTTCAAGTACTGAGTCATTTTGAAGGTTATTCAGCGAGCTGCATTTTCAAGGGTAGCAGCGAATTGGTTCGATGAGCAAGCATCGCGTTGAATCCTTGCAAAGGCAGAACTGCGACTTACACCCTCATAAAAAATTGCACTCCTGTAGAACAAAATCATTGGTGTCGAAGAAATGTCTCTGTATCAGTGTTAATAACCTCTATTGAGCAAACAATCGTTTATTTCCGGTTTGTCAATCGGACTAAGGCCTCGTTTCTGCACGCACGTCTGCTACCCTTCAGCAAGATAACCAAACCGTAAAAGGATTCCTCGATATACTTGACAGTTGGGATGTTTCAGTTACGCATTGGTTGAAAATTAAAGATGCACTAACGAAATACCTCTTTCATCTTTTCGATTTTTTCCTGCTTCTTTTGTTTTTGCTCCTCAGTCATTGTCACATGGAAAGGCCAACGGCGCTTCTTCTGAACGATATAATTTCTTCAACATTGTGATGATTCATCCCGTCCTTACCACGTCCTGGTCATACAAGCATGGACTGGTATGCAGAGAAGCAACTCCTTGTCTTACGGCGGTGTTGTGTTGTTTTCCTCGATAAAAAGAATTTCTCAAAGGCACTTCGGAACACGAAAGTGTTCGATAACAAGAGCTGAGTGCTAATCGACCGTTACACCTCCACAAACTGAGCATTATCCTGAACACGAACTATTTTTTTAGATAAGGGGCGGACGTACCGGCAAATAACGAGTTTTCATGAGCAACCGAAAACAGAAAAGAAATTCTCAGCGTACAAGAAAGTAGTTTAGATGGAAAAAATATAAAAATAGCTGGGATTACTTCAGTCAAATACCTAGCTGATCCAACCACACCACAACCCGATTTCGAGAGCTGGAGCGCTTTCAGTCTAAGGTTTACACGACATAAGGAACAAGAGTAGAAGACTATGTAATCGAATTCCACTCAATGACTGACCTCGATCATACAGTCTAAACACCTCAACGTGGATGGAAAAGTAATTATGGATTCGATGAAATCTTGAATTATTTATGGTGGGCAGTACAGTTCTCTAGTTAGATTCTGTCATCAGAATCACTACATAAAACTGGCCCTACGTGTGTTCCAGTGACAGGGAAGGGGGCATTGCAGTGCATGAGCTGCTCTACTCGTAATTTCGTCCGAGACCTTTGAAATGGCGATCCGCTGCTCGCAGGTCCATTTCTACGTCATCTCTTGATTTCTTTAATACTTCCGTGTACGCCCCCAAAGGAGGGAGAGAGGGGAGGAAAGGGGGTTGGGCGAGTCACTTGAAATGCGCGACAAAGGAGTTTCATCGCGATGGCATAAGTTCGCGCCTTTGCCTTAACCGCCACCTTCTCGCACCCACGGGGTACTTCTTCGCTCGCGCTTCGGTTCTCGCCACTTTCCAAGCTCTTGAATCACAATAATTGCGTTCTCTGTCCGACTCATAGCATCCGGATTCATGAGGCCAAGTGGAACCGCTACAGGAAACGCGGAGACTGGCAATTAGCCAAGGGTTTGCCCTGATTTTTCACAGTGGAAGAAAATTCGGCGGAGGTGACTAGAGGAGGGTCAGCCACAACACTGCGTCTCTATGGACGATGTCAGACTTTGCGAGACGAGAATGTGAATCGCGATTCGCGCGACCATCGCGCGAGCGATCGCGAATTCACATTACTCCCCATCTTGACCAAATCGCTCCAATTGCAAACTCTGACATCGTCCAATAGCGGCAACACTCAGTTCGAGGACTAGCCTTAGCAGGTGGTTGAAGAAGAGGAACGTCGGCGGGGTGCGTAAGCAATTTTCATTCTCTTCCAAGTTCGTCCCTCTTCCTTAGGCTTAGCCCTAGGTCCCTTCTACAGCCTTCCTGCATGTTCCGGAGACACTGCGCTGAATCTGTTTTTCAATCCTGAGCTTTCAGTAGCAGGAGTAACAGCTTAATGGTGAAGTAGTGCAGCGAAAGCCGATGTTATTTTACATGCTACAGATAACGATACAATTCGACCGAAAATGAATGGCCTATTACGGCTGCCCGAGCATTTTTTCCCCCAGTACGTTGTGTAGCTCTCTTATAATCATCGTGAGGGATTGTACAGAAAAACGTAACGGGAGTACGCGCGTAATCGGGCAATGGAATTGGAGCAGGTTAAAGAGTGAGTAATGGAACCATCTACCCGAGCGGATTTAGTTTTTCGAAACAATTTTCGTTGTGAATTGCCGAAGACTTGAAGGATAACTCCCATATACGTTATATAAGGAGTACTGTTCCGTGCTGCCTAACAACTCCACTTTTGGAAGCCCCAGCGATGCCAATCGCTCTGGGCAGAGCGACTGCATCTCGCGATGCAATCGCAGTCTGACCGACATCTAACGGTCGAGGATGTCCCTGACCATGGCTGTAGGCGCGAGTAGTGCCGAGAGTGAACGTAGGGTGTGGTTCATGGAAGAGGGGAGGATTTCGCGTTTGCAGCTTGGAACTTTTTCCGCTAGGCGGAAACCCTGGTACGCGACTGATCTCAGTGACCGAGCTTTTCGCAGCGATCATCATCTGGATCGAGGCTCTCGCAGCCGAAAAATGTTTTCGCGCTGCGAACGGGAAAGTCGTTCTGTCCTATAGGGTGCAAGACCGGCACGCGGTATTTGAACGAAGGGATTATTCCTTCGGTTTAGCTTGGACGCACGGTACCGCGGATCATCTGTCTTCCGCAGATATGTTTCTGTCTTCGACTCTGACTTTTATCGTTAGATCAGCACGGTGTCAGAGTCCGAAATCCGTCGCAGGTTCCGCTGATTTCAGCGATTTTCTCGACTTGCGCGAAACCTGCAATGGATCACAGGAGTTGGAAGTGCCCGATGATACTGCGAGGTGCTGTCTTCCTGCCTGCGAATTCTGCTTGATAGTTGAGATGAAAGACGACTGTTTGTAACTCTACTTGTTTCATGTTCAATGTCTATCAGTTCATTGAAATGCACATGATCCGTTCCTATTTCTATGCCTATAATCTAGTTCGATAACATCAAAAGTGGATCATGAGGCAGTCGTCTTTCAGCATCATTATCAGCAGAAAGCGGGCGATTGAGAGAAACTTTGAGTGTTGAAGGGATTGTGGTTACACGTGACAGGTCCGCGCATCGCGCAATCGCGCAGACTCGCAGATCGGCGTTGCGCTGCTGAGAAGCCAGCGACGGAGCCGCTAGCGACGGAGCCTCTAAGTCTTTTCATAGTTTTAAGACACAATTAGGAGTTTGAACTATATCAAAATACTTTTGTACGTATGAACTTCTAGAGTTTTTAACCACCATCCCTTTGAAATCCGAGTTAGCCTTCCAAACGTTCAATTCGTTTCCCAACAATGTGTACTATGAAAGCTCTCATCTGTAATTACATTTTGTCTATTGGTAAAGTCAAAAATCAGAAAGAAAAACTGCGTTCAGGGGAAATTTTGCATAATGTTGAGCAAGATTTGGTCCCACGAGCACTACTGCGTCCGTACTTGTCGTCAAAGGGTTAATCTCCCCCCTGCCAACCGATATCGATCGCGTGATGAGTCATCGCCCGTTGCCCACTCTTGTGGCTGGCGGCTCCGTCGCTGGCGGCTCCGTCGCTGGCGGCTCCGTCGCTGGCGGCTCCGTCGCTGGCGGCTCCGTCGCTGGCGGCTCCGTCGCTGGCGGCTCCGTCGCTGGCGGCTCCGTCGCTGGCGGCTCCGTCGCTGGCGGCTCCGTCGCTGGCGGCTCCGTCGCTGGCGGCTCCGTCGCTGGCGGCTCCGTCGCTGGCGGCTCCGTCGCTGGCGGCTCCGTCGCTGGCGGCTCCGTCGCTGGCGGCTCCGTCGCTGGCGGCTCCGTCGCTGGCGGCTCCGTCGCTGGCGGCTCCGTCGCTGGCGGCTCCGTCGCTGGCGGCTCCGTCGCTGGCGGCTCCGTCGCTGGCGGCTCCGTCGCTGGCGGCTCCGTCGCTGGCGGCTCCGTCGCTGGCGGCTCCGTCGCTGGCGGCTCCGTCGCTGGCGGCTCCGTCGCTGGTGTCCAGCGACGCAATCGCCGAGTCTGACCGAGGTCTAGTCGCGAATCCTGGAAATAGCGAACTCGACGAAGCGCAGTTTCTGACAGGGCCGTATGCTATGCTCCCCCAACAAGGGAGGGGCCCCCTATTGGGGGAGCTCCCCGGCTGCGGCCGCCCCGAAAGCGGCCGTATGCTATGCTCGCGGGGCTCCCCAGGGGATGCAGACATGCAGAGTATCCATGGCGCGAAGAACTTGGCATCTTGCCAGATATTAGTTTTAGGCTTAAAGCATAATTATAAGTTTTTGAGGTGCATATGCAGGATAGTATACTCAGATCGAAGATTAGCAATGTTACCTCGAAAGTCAGGAGAAAGTCATTAGAATTCTTTGATGTCCACAATATTATGACTATGATCAGCATTGTCTTCCATAGAGCAACTGAAGCGTTTTAATAATGCTCAATTTGACGTAGTATCGTTTACTTCATTACTGTAATGTTTGAGGAGTTAATCAGCCACCTCATTTCACGCTCCATGTTGGTAATGATCCGAAGAAGATCATTCTATACATCATTCTATAAAATGTATTAGATTAGCCAGAGATTTATCTTGAAGAACTCGAAAACTTGCTGTGGTCAGAATAAAAGCAGATAATCTTCTAACAATCTAATTTTGCGATGAACTTAAACAGAATTTCCCCCGCTGCTGATTGCTTCATTCAGCGAGCAAGTACCTCCTTGTATATTAATACTAGATGTTCACTTATTGTTCTACAGGCATCGAACTATGTTCGCAAAAAAGAATCCATGGAAAATAACAACAAAGTATCGCTCTATCGAAACAACGCGGTATTAGAGAGGAGAAGTTCCTTACTCATGATGGAGAGTCAGTTGGTACGTATTAGTCCTTCATCTCCCTAACTGGTGAACGCCAGAGCATGAACATTCTGTATTGTACTCTCCTTTTAACGCATATTTAAGCCTGCACACAATATCTCAATTCAAAGTTAACAGGTTTTTAGGAGCTCATTCTGTAATTGGGAAAACCCGCGGTTTCATCCTTCCAATTCCCCTTTTCCAGCGCAGAGTGCGATTTGCCTTTAATATTGCGTTCAAGTTTTCTTAATTATGGTTGGTTGGCAAGACATTTGATACTGCCTTTATTTTCTACGTATAAGAATTGTGTCAGTGCGCGATATGATCAGTAGAAATTAAATACTGCGTTCACGTTCGTGAATAAGTCAAGTGGCTTCGATAGCCTATATTTTTCATGTGAAAAATCTGGTTTTATCTTCGTTAAAATATAGTTAGCTGATCGATGGAAAACAGCTACATCAGGCTGCCTCCATCTAAACGTTAAATAGTGTCACGTAATGTAATAGCTCACAATCTCAAGTACGAAGCTTAAAAATCTGCAGAATGTAAAAAATATAACATAGCATCCAAATCTTTGTCTAAGATGCTAGTAAATAACAATCATGGGATCGAACGTGATCGGATCATTTAAAAGTTTGATAGGGGGCTTATATACTCCTTCTTCTTAATTCTTAAATGCATATCAGATCTCCGTTAACACCCACATGGTTGATTAAGGGTGTCCGACACTAAACCTTTTTCTGCACATCAATATTTGTAGTGATGTACTCACAAATAAGCAATTCTTAAAACTGCAGTACGCAACCCATAGAAGAATTGTGCGCGCGACAGTCAATTATGCGTACGGCGGCTACGAAATTACGGTATCCCCGGCTAGGCCGAGTCGGCGGCGGATGGGGGAATCCCGCTATCGGTAATGCGGGTGGCCTCATCTCTCCCGAGATATGTCGGGGGATGATAAGCATGCCGGGACGGGGGACCTCCATGTTGGGGGCGCGACTTCTGACACCAGCTTTATCCTTTGAAACGTCGTAAACTTAGCGACAGAGGACATGCCAAATAGCCGCATAGGAGTAGCAAAACTTGTACAAACACAAAAGTGAAGTAAAATGTTTGAAATGGAGCTTCACACTGCTGGGCGTGCTCGGCAAAACACAAAACGTAGATGTGGGAGAGCGTGCATTCCCAGCAATGCAATCGGGCTGCAGTGTATAAACACATAATAAGCAGTGTATACAAAACCAGAAGAACATTATCTCAGTGCTAAGTCTCAGAAGCAACTTTTAGTTCAATGTCAATGCCAATATGAATGCAGGCTTGCAAAATATTCACGTTGTTCTTAGGGATTGCTCTGCATTAATTTGAGAAACGGATCACTGCCAGCGCTAGCACACTACGTCTCTATAACTTCTATACCCTCTAATCATTCTAAGACTAAGCGTTTAAATCAAAATTATCTGCACAAGGTTGAAAAACATAGAGCGCTTATCCAAAACAGTAATTAAAATTTGTCGAGATCATCAAATTTCTGAAAAAAGCTATGCCTCACTGTTTCATTGCGCGGTAAGGCATGCGACTAATTTCCCTGCGAGCTCATCCTATGAGTCGATCCGCGATGTTATGCACTGATGTGCCATGAGGGATGAACGAGATATAGAAAACCTGTGTGGGTGCACCCCTAGCGGAGTGAGTCCCACACGCCTACGAGTCCCGCCCAATGACCCTTTTAGCTTTCTATTTCATGCAAGCAGTGGTGAATCTGAATCAGAGCAATCCTTGAGGACAATGGTTCAGGTGAGCATTTATAATTAGCTTGTCATTTCGTCATGAAGAAACTTCCAAAAAAAGTCCCATTGCCAGATTCGTTTTATGGCTACAAAGATCGCACAAAGGCGTCAAGAGTGTGTAATCTGACGACTAATATACAATAACCCATTCAATTCAATGAATCTCATACAAACTCCAGGATCAGCGGTATAAACCGTAACGTTATGTCCACGAATAAATTTACACCATTTATAAGAGGTACATATTCTATGAAACAACAACAAAGGCAGATGTAACAGAACCACGTGTAAGAGAAACGTCGAAATACATAGCTTCAGAGAACAAGTCTCCACCTCATGCAAATAAATATATATTTACTTCGCCCGCAGTTGAACAACCACTGAATTCCTACAATCTAATGGGTAATTTCTGATTTTTGCTTGATTGCATAATAAAGTGCAGCCAAGCAAACAAGAAGAGCGACCGTTTCAGAAGAGACGAAAGGCTTCCGTGTGAGACCCTGAAAAAAATACTTCATCTACGAAAGCTGTGCATGTACAGCCCAAGCAAGAAACTCACCGCATGGTAATGCTCAATCGTAAACAATGGAGAGGTGTTAGAATTCTGAAAAGTGAAACTCGCTCAATAATCTAGATAGGAGCAATCATCACTCGTGAGACTACCTTTCTGTAAGCTGCAATACCCTCTTCGTCGAAGATTTTGATAGATATCTGTTGCGCATCAGACTGCTCATGCTCTTGAGTCCACGATATCTGGAAACATTACTGCATTGCGAAAATCTCGAGAGGAACTGATCTTCAACATTAGCACTGATTGTGAGGAAACTATGCGTTCACTTTAAAATGGCACTACAAATAGTTCACTAGGTGTTGTTGTCGTCAGTATGTTTAACCTATCACCCCCGTTTCACCCCCGATGCTTACTAACAAAATATTATCCCATTGCGTAAAAAAAGTAACGCCACTTTCAAACAGTGTCGAGTCGCTGGTACATGGTTCGATACGTTTATACATAGTTCGATCCGCTTTCACATAAGTAATAGTACGCTAGCGAATCGCTGGATTCGCAAAGTCTGACATCGGCCTTTTACACGCGCCGCCGGTGTTACGCGATTAGGACAACTTTAACTTGAATCATGTACATCTACTATTACAATGTAATGTTGGATGCGCTACAGTAAACTTGTTTACCTGATATTTGGCAGTTTCCACAGAAACCGCTACGTTGTAAATATGGCCATTGATGACAGCGAAGAAGGGAGAATCCTAGAAACCTTTTATTAATGCTAATCCTTCATTTCACTCAATCTAATTCAACGAGTGAAAAATAATGAATACGAAATGGTTACGAATTGCCGAACAGCTTGTATTATGCTCAGGGGCCGTGTCTTACCCTTTCCCAGGCTAGGAGAGCAAAAGAGTTCTTAGAATCTATTTGTTTTCAACGATATAGTTTCACACTTTCCACACATGCTTGCTTTTACGCACATACATACATAACAAATATGCAGCTTGTCAAGGATTTAATTGGAAGACAAAGAAAAATTGAAGGGGGTTTTATTCCCCTAGCCAAAAAGGATAGGATATGGCCTAGATCTTGTGACGGATCAAAAGCGCACCAGAAAAAAGACACACTATACTTTTGGCTCGTTTGAGTGAGCTTGTTAATGGATGGTGTCCTCAAAAAAGGTGGAGAGTGTATGCCTGAACGATCCGTAGACTTTCAACATTGGTGGGGTCACTCAATCGGAGGGTATTCGTTCATCATCGCTCTTGATGATTTGAAAAGTAGAGTCGCAACTCGGCAAGCAGTCCGCACCCAACCAATCTAAAATTCTACTCAGGGCGATGCTTAGTTCCGCGAATTATCGCGCCGCTGTTGCGGTGCGTGGTTCTGTTACTTGCATAAGTTCACTCAATTAGGGTCATTTGGCATGTAAGACTCGAATCGTGACTCTTTTATGATTTATGTTATTATTGCTTGTAGTGGCTGCGACAGAGGAGTTGATAAGAGTAACGGCTCATCAACAAAACAGTCAAACCAGCAAGTGTTACGGTAGTGGTGCTCCAAAAATTTCATGACCAATCTCACCCCTAACACCAAAGCTGCTCAAAAATTTTCGACACGGCGATAAGGGCGCACGCATAGTCGATCGTCCGGTCGTAACGGTCGCAGCACTAGACAAGTATCGATCGCCTGACGTCCGACACATGCGATCGTTACGATCGCAAGTGTC